GCCTACAGACTCATTCCAGCCTTTGACCCAGTAATCGACACCAGAACTAGACTCACTTTTGAGAAACGAGGGCTTCTACAATAAATTTTGTAATCTAAGTCTCTCTGTTGTGGTGATTTGGGTCCAGAGTTGAAGGGGTTTGTTACATCCCCACACAACTTCTCCCCACACCACTGATGATGGCCGGGCTAACAGGTCAAAAGTTTGCTTCAGTTTTTAAGAAGACTCTACCAGTACACTTCATGATCTCCGGTAACCATCATGAACACAGTGAGTTTTTTGTATTCGAATCACCCGTTACACAGCTTGTCCTGGGTTTTCCTTGGCTCAGAGATCACAACCCCGTAATTAATTGGAGGGTTAAAAGAATAGAACAATGGAGCCCACACTGTTTAATGAACTGTTTAAGAACTGCTGTTCCTTCCACTATTAAACGTCCTGAGGCACCCAATCCAGTCGATTTGTCTAAGATTCCTGCTGTTTACCATGACCTTGCCCCTGCATTTAGTAAACAAAAGGCCCTGTCATTACCATCGCACCGTCCTTATGATTGTGCTATTGATTAACTACCAGGGGCTCCTCTTCCTTCTAGCCGCCTTTACAATTTGTCTGGTCCAGAACGTGACTCTATGAAAGAGTATATCTCCGAATCATTGAACTCGGGAATAATTTGTCCCTCCACCTCTCCTGTTGGAGCAGGATTTTTCTTTGTGGCTAAAAAAGACAAGACCTTACATAGACTATAGAGGATTAAATCAGATAACAATTAAGAACAAATATCCTTTACCACTAATAGACTCTATCCATGAACAATTGCACTCTGCTAAAATATTTTCCAAATTAGATCTTCGTAACGCTTATCACCTCGTCCGAATCAAGGAAGGTGATGAGTGGAAGACAGCATTTAAGGCACCACTGGGACATTTTGAGTACATAGTCATGCCATTTGGTCTCACCAATGCCCCTGCAATTTTTCAAACATTGGATAATGACATTTTGAGAGACTTTTTGAACATTTTTGTATTTGTGTATCTGGACGACATTTTGATCTACTCACGGGATGAGGAGCAACACGTTCACCACATCAGGACTGTCCTACAACGATTATATGAGAACCAACTGTACGTTAAAGCCGAAAAGTGTGAATTTCATGTACAATCTGTCTCCTTTTTGGGCTTTATTTTTGAAGGAGGACAATACCGCACAGACCCTGAGAAAACTAAGGCAGTGGTGGAATGGCCAACACCTGAGACACACAAACAGCTGCAGCGATTTCTAGGCTTTGCTAACTTCTACCGTAGGTTCATCAAGAACTACAGCAGGATCGCTGCTCCTCTCACCCAATTGACCTCCACCCTGCGGACTTTTAAATGGACTCATGAAACAGAAACGGCTTTTGGTGAGCTTAAAAGACTTTTTTCTTCTACCCCTATTCTTTGCCACCCCGATCCTAAGAGACAGTTTATCCTTGAGGTCGATGCTTCTGACACTGGCGTAGGAGCCATTTTGTCTCAGAGATCTCCTGTTGACAACAAAGTGCACCCCTGTGCATTCTTCTCTCTAAGCCTTTCCTCTGCTGAACAGAATTACGACATAGGCAACCATGAGCTCCTTGCCGTCAAGTTGGCCTTGGAGGAGTGGCGACACTGGCTCGAGGGCACAGACACACCATTCCTCATTTGGACTGATCACAAGAACCTCACTTATCTCCGCGAGGCCAGGAGATTAAACCCCAGACAAGCTAGATGGTTGTTATTTTTTACAAGATTTAACTTTGTACTGACTTTCAGACCCCGCTCTAAAGATGTGAAGCCCGACGCCCTGTCTCGTCAGTTCTCACCACCAGAGGACACCGAACAGGAACCAAACATTCTACCCTCATCCTGTGTGGTTGGTTCGTTGACCTGGTCCATTGAAAAGGACATCTTAGAGGCCCAGAAGACCGAACCTGACCCTGGGACAGGTCCTGCTGGCACTATGTTTGTACCCACCAGTATCAAGGCTAAGGTACTCAACTGGCTCCACACTCATAAGATTTCTTGTCACCCAGGTGTTGCTCGTATGCTAGCTCTGACTAAGAGACACTTCTGGTGGCCCTCCATGAACGAAGATATAAAGAATTACGTAGCCGCTTGCCCCACATGTGCCAGAAGTAAGACTGGCAACCAGCCTCCAGCTGGAAGATTACAGCCACTTCCCACCCCTAGCCACCTATGGTCCCATATATCTCTAGACTTTGTTACTGGGTTGCCCCCCTCTGATGGTAAAACTGTTATTCTCACTGTCATTGACAGATTTTCTAAAGCAGCTCATTTCGTTCCATTACCCCAGCTTCCCTCAGCCTTGGAGACGGCCCAGCTGTTGGTCCAACATGTTTTTCGAGTTCACGGCATCCCATCGGACATCGTTTCTGACAGAGGACCCCGATTCATATCACAGGTATGGAAGAACTTTTGTAATTCTTTAGGGGCCTCTGTCAGCCTAACATCGGGTTACCACACGCAGTCCAATGGTCAGGCCGAACGGGCCAATCAGGAATTGGAGGCTGCCCTCAGGTGTGTGGTGGAGGACAACCCCTCCACATGGAGCCAACATCTGGTATGGGTGGAATATGCCCACAACACCCACACATCATCTGCTACTGGTTTGTCTCCATTTGAAGCCTCCCTTGGTTACACTCCACCATTGTTTCCCAGTCAAGAAGGCGATATAGCAGTTCCCTCTGTGCAACATCACTTCAGGAGATGTCGTCGGGTCTGGTGCCAAACTAAGCTCACCCTACTGCGCACAGCTGCCAAAAACAAGGAGATTGCAGATCACGATCTGCAGCTCCATCTTACAAGGTTGGACAAAGAGTCTGGCTGTCGACCCAGAACATCCACCTCAAGGACACCCCACGTAAGTTGGCTCCCTGCTTCATCGGTCCCTTTAGCATCACGCATATCCTGAGTCCCACAGCAGTCAGACTCCAGCTACCCGCATCTATGCGGATTCATCCCACCTTCCACGTGTCTCAACTCAAGCCCATCGCAGAAAGCCCACTGTGCCCTCCTGCCGACCCCCCCCCCCCCCCGTCTCATTGACAACCACCCAGCCTTCACGGTCTGCCGCATCCTGGACGTTCGGCGCCAGGGGCGGGGGTTCCAGTATTAGGTCGATTGGGAGGGTTACGGTCCAGAGGAGCACTCTTGGATCCCAAGGTCCTTCATCTTGGACCCCAGCCTCATCACCACGTTCTTCAGGGCACACCCAGAGAAGCACTTCAGGTCGCCGGGAGGCGACTCTTGAGGGGAGGGTAATGTAAGGATCCTGCCCTGCACCCTGCCTTCCTCTCTCCTCTACACTCCTAATTGGCTCCAGCTGCAGATGATCAACTCAACACCCAGGAGGAGTATAAGAAGATTCAGGAACCACTCTGCAGGCGCTGGGACATTGCCTACCAACGGTAGTTGTGTTCTGGCCAGTTGTTCTGTGATATTAGTGAAAACTAATATTGTGTTTTTTTCTCTGCGCTTCCTCAGAGTTTGGATCTTGCTGTACCTGCTGCCCTGCTTGAGTTCCATGTGAACTGTGACTCCTCCTGCCTCTCTGCAATTGCTGGATGCCTTCCACCACTTGCCTAAATCTACTTGTTGCTTCACCTTGTGCCACTGGACACCATCTGGACAAAATACCTTCTCATTCTGTTTCCTGCTACACACTGTAAGAATTATTCAACAAGATATATTTTCATCCAACCACAGCCCTTTAAATTACCGCTCTCTACCCAGGTGTTCCCGTTTCCCTCATTGATGTTTTATTTATCACCAACCTGTAAATAAACACTTTAAATTATTATCTGAGTCCTGGTGTCTGTTCAGTTCTGGTCTTTCATTCTGGGTACACCGCAATCATTACAGTATTACTGTGTATTGTTTTATGGCTGTATTACTGTATATTGTTTTACGGCTGTATTACTGTGTAATGTTTAATGGCTGTATTATTGTGTATTGTGTATTGTTTTATGGCTGTATTACTGTGTATTGCGTATTGTTTTATGGCTGTATTACTGTGTATTGTTTTATGGTTGTATTACTGTGTATTGTGTATTGTTTTATGGCTGTATTACTGTGTAATGTTTTATGGCTGT